GGGCCTAAGGCTGGCTCTGCAAACTCTGCAAGCAGTGAGGCTAAGTCCATGAATGCTCCCAGAGCACCAGTAGATTCTTGGATGGGTACAAGTGCTCTTTCATTGTACACCCCCAAAGCTTGAGACAACATACGTGGAGAGTCATTATTCCATTGCTCTTGGGACAGGAATTAGGGAACCTCATGAGTTAATAGTTTTCATGCTGTTATTACTGAGCATGGAACATTATCTCTTCAAACATACTTCATGGTGGGCAGCCTTTTGTTCTCTCAAAGAGGCCAATCATACATCGGCATGTTAAACTGTACAAATATCCCTTCCCTAAGGATGCTGCAGACCCTCAGTCTGTATCAGAGGAGAAAGAAACCCCATTAGGAGGAATTAATCAGATTGGTGCCTGCTATTGTCACATTTAAAAACAGACAAATCTCTATGCATGGAGGACTGACCTGACCCAAAGCTTTCCTTATCTTTACCCTGAATAGAAAGGGAGACTAATGGATTTAATTATCATTCTCAACAGCCCCGCTTCCTGTTCCCGCTCTGAATCACAGGGTTATGTGACATAGAGCAGGAACCTGTTTTATTTTTCTCATCAACAGCAGAGTTATTCTTAGTAACTTGACAGGGCGGATTCATTGAAGCAACAGCCAGGTCTTTCTGCTTTTGTGGGATGTTAATGAACAAATGACATTGCTAATTGTTAGGTAGCTACTTAAAGCCTGTAATGAACAACGCTGAGTGCTCATTCCTCCTTCCACATGGTGTTCTCCGCTCCCGCCTCTTCATGCACGTTATTACCAGCGTGTGGCAGCTGAAGCTACTGTTGCCCTCTCCAGGATGGAATGGCAAGCGCTGCTCAAGTATTGATGACTACTATGTCATCTTCAAGTGGCTGGCCCAGAAATCATAAGAAATTACAAGCTCCCTCTCCTCGTCTAGATAGAAGCCTTGGTATTTTGGAGCTGAATGGTGTGACGTCCATCTAGCACTGGGCAAATCTTGGTGGTTTCAGTTTGCATGGGGTCCCCAGCTCCAGCTCACACTCCTTGCTTTTGTGTCCTGCAAAGGACTAGAGATGATCCTTTGATGTTTTCAAGTAGAAGGGCCTATTTCCTCCAAGCTTTCTACTTGGGTTTAGATGG